TAATATACTGAATTGTACTTACGCCGTGCTGTACCCAGACCTGCTTTCAAGTGGAAGAACATAATTAGTGTGTTTATCATCACCACCATCACTGCAGGGGCGAAGCTGCCTATATAATCAAACAATCACTGCTTCCCTTTCCTAATTTTGAACATTTGTCGCTGTCAAATTCCATCCCATAAACCGTAAATCTCTTTAATTAAATTGTAAAAAGACGTCCGTAATTCAACAATGAACAGTATACCTAACATTCAAAACGGTTTCACGGCCACAGAAATAGCTTCCTCACCCCTCTCGGGCCACTCCATAAGCAGTCGCACGTTTTGATTAAGTAAGCTCAAAGTGAGGCTGGAAGAGTCTACCTATAGAGTTGAAGGGAACATGTGCATAGCAGTCAAAGCTGTTTCATTGCCACATATACCCTGTTCACCCCTTTGGGGCCACAGTTATAATCCAATCACAAGCCCTGATTATATAAAAGCTAACTAACACTGGTCGAGTCTACCTCACGAATGTGAGGGGAACTAACTCCTAATAATCTGCATGTGCTTGTTTTTTTTCCTCGACTTTTTACCGTCCTATAATCAGATCGTGACCTCGATTATGACACCAGCTCCTGGCCGCGAAAGGGTAACAAAAACAGCCAAATGTGAAATTTAAAAAATGGTAATTGTCATGTTCTACCAAAGAGTTAGACTCACTGGTAGATCTACAACATATAAATCTAGTACTGACATCTCTGCTTCTTTGCTTTGTGTTTATGTATTCACATCTAAAGTTAAATTTAATTTTAGTTGGAACTGATATTTAATAAGATACTTTCCCGATTTTTTTGGCGGTTGAACATACAAAATGAATTCCGGATTTTCATTCACAACTCAGAGTCGTCGCCTCGAGTAAGATTCTTGTGTGATATCTACAGGCCATATCTGGTCCCGTTTCACTTTGATTACCCTGTCAAACAAGTCAGCCTTCGCCCCTGACCATCAGTGACGCGTGCAAGAATACAACATTTATCGGACTATATAAAGCTGAAACGTTCGTTAGATTAAGAAGTACATGTCCTTTACTCCAGCGTTCGTGTTTCTACCGCTATACTCTACTATAGAAGGTGCGTAGACATACTTCTGATCATGTCCACTCCTATCTGCCGGTTGCTTTCTCTCGTTTTCCTTTTTCTTTCTTTCTTTGTTATTTCTTTTATATATTTATTTATTTATTTATTTATTTGTTTACTGATTTTCTCTGTTTTTGGCTTGTTTGTTTTTCGTTGCTGTTGGGTTTTTTTGTGTGTTGTTGTTTTTTTGTTTTTGTTGTTTTTTTTTTTGGGGGGGGGGGGGGGGTGTTCGTGTAGGGTTATGTTTATTTTATGTTAGCGTATCCTGTGCTTTCACAAGATATCTGTTTGTGTGCTTTTTCGACATTCTCCAATATGGCATACACATAATAATAATAATAGTAATAATAATAATAATAATAATAACAACAACAATAACAATAATAGTAACAATGATAATAACAATAATGGTAATAATAGTAATAATAATAATAATAATAATAATAATAATAATAATAATAATAATAATAATAATAATAATAATAATAATGAAAGTAATAATGATATCGTAATATAAATAAAAATGACAATAATAATAATAATAATAATATGGCAAACACATAATAATAATAGTAATAATAATAATAATAACAACAACAACAACAACAACAATAACAATAATAGTAGCAATGATAATAACAATAATAGTAATAACAGTAATAATAATAATAATAATAATAATAATAATAATAATGAAAGCAATAATAATATCGTAATACAAATAAAAATGACAATAATAATAATAATAATAATAATAATAATAATAATAATAATAATAATAATAATAATAATAATTTATTTTTATCTATATATTATAATTATGATTATGATAGTTATGGTGATGGTGATAATGATGATAATAATTTCTATAGCACCCACTCTCGTATAATACAGTTCTATGTAGGTGTTTAACATTACCGTTATCTTAACATCAAATGCAAGTGGATGAAAAATGATAATATATTTTATCTTTAACGTCCCTCTCAACAATATTAAGTTTTTTAATCGTGTAGTGCGCCTTCCCAAGGACACTGCGTCGGGCCGAGCTGAGGCTCGAACCCCCGAGCCAGCAATCTCACGATTACGGTCCGTTAGCCTAACCGGTAGCAAGTACACTTTTGAATATTTGTGGACCATTATATCATCGGATGGGAGATGTCACGCCGAAGTTAAAAGCCGCATTTGCCAAGCAAAAACAACCTTCCACAAAATGAAACAGATACTCACAAACAACAATCTGTCACTGGAAACAAGAAAAAGAGTATTTAAAAGCTACATCGAGCTAATCTCATTATACGGATGCAAAGCATAGACAATCGATAGGCAGATGAAAAGAACAATTGTGGCGACAGAGTTGTGGTTCAAAAGACGCATGCTGTGTATCCCACGGACAGCTAAAAAAACAAATGGAGATGTCTTGGTTGAAGCAAATTGCAGACGACAGCTAATGACGAATATGCAAAAGCGACCGTTTTGAGTTTCTATAAGACCATTAGGTAAAAAACTTTATGTTCTCTCATCTCTATCAAAATCTTAAGATTATTCGGAGTCGTTCTCCAAATATATATTATAAAGAATTGCATTTGAAAAGGCGTGCCATGATGTAAAACTCTAGATAATTTTTTTTTACGTCAAATTTCTCAAAAACGTGTAGGCTACTGAGCAGATAGAGCTTTGTAATTTTGAGGTAGCTAACTCTCGGCATAGTCGATGTTGATGTGTGTATGTGTGTGTTTGTGTGTGTGTGTGTGTG